GACAATTTCTGTGGCCTCATTGATAATGGAAGATGGACCACAGCAGTAAGGAAGAAAAGGTAGAAGGTTATTTGATACTGGGGAGCAGGCCTGCACTAGGGTAGAATGGTACTAGGAATAAAGGAGAGGGCTGATGTGAAAGCGAGGTCTGGGAACTCACGCACATGTGTGTACATGCACATACACATTTGAATAGAGAAGTCAGGTAAGACAGAGCTGGGACTGATGGTCCCTCAAGATGATTCAAGAATAGTATTTTAGGGGGTAAGTTTATGACTATAAAGTTGAATACATAATTGTGGGCAATCTGGGTGGAGCTATCCAGCAGGCACTTGAAAGTCCTGGGATAGGTTTTTGGGATGAAGGAAGAGGTGACAAAACAGGAATCAGTCATTTGTGTAGTGATAACAGATGGAGCCAGGAAGGCAGATGAAACACTGAAGGAGAGAATGGTATGTGTGCATCTCTCTCTCTCTCTCTGTGTGTGTGTGTGTGTGTGTGTGTGTGTGTGTGTGAGAAATAGGAAGAGAGCTGGAGACTCTGTAGGAGAAATCAGAGTTAAGAGAAAGTTCTCAAATCCACTGACCTTTGTTAACTCTTACAGTGAGACCCACAGGTGAAGAACTGCATCAGTTATTGAACTTTGTTACCTTGGCAAGACTGGTGATCTTTGAAAGGATGCTTTCTCTTTAAAAATGTTGTTGATGGAATTCAAAATTTAAAATGCAGTATGCCGTGGGAAAAGAGAAATCAGTAAGAACATGCTTCTTTTCAGAATATATTGGAATATTAGCCAGAGAAGTAACACAATATGAAATTTCAATAAGGGTGTGATTAAAGTGGGTTTTTTGGTACACATTTCTCAAACAGAATTTCTTTATGATAGAAATTCTGTTTTACTTATCTTTATACTCTGACCATCCTGTCTTCTGAAAAAACAAGACAGAAAACTGGGGCCTGCTCTCCGAAATGGAACTAGCAGGAGCCCTGTTATCAAGGTGCATGTCCACAGCAGCAGGTTCTCTGCTGGCTCAGGATGTGAGGCATCCTGTGAGAATGGCCCATGGTGAACTCTGTGGAGTAGGGAAAGGCCCTTTTCCTCAGCCTTCACAATAGCTGTCATTTGTTGAACTGTGTTTCTGGCTTTGGCTTAACCCAGGCAGGAAGGTGTGATTCTAGTCTGTGCCCTTGCCAAATCCTTGTTTTCTAATCTTCCTAGGCTATCTCATGGTGGAATAGCTAAAATTTCATCTGGAATCTAGTGGGCAATTCTCTCCGCAGCCCCTCCCACCTCCTCCCTGTCTTCCATACCACATAGCCTGCCTGAAACTGAGGGGAAACTGAGCAGCTTCATCCTTCCCCCAACACTTCACTTGCCTTCAGCTGACTTTAAACAAGTCACTCATTTTGGAGGTGACATAGTTGAGTCCCCACTAGTTTGACTATAGATAACTCCTCTACATGTATTTCTGGGGCAGTACTGGGGATTGAACCCAGGACCTCACACATACTAGGCAAGTGGTCTACAATTATGTCCTTGGCCCTTTCTACTTTTTATTTTGAGAATCTCCCTAAGTTGCCCAGTCAGGGCTTAGATTTGTGATCCTCCTGTCTCAGCCTCCTGAGTAGCTGGAGTTACAGGCCTGCACTGGGTTTGATAATAATGGTTACCTATGTTATCTTTCAGGCATTTGGAGAATACTTTTGTCAAGACCACTAACTCTTCTCTTGCACCAAGTGCAAATGACTGGTGGGTGATCCTTTGACACAAGAAGACTGAAAACCCTCAGACCATGCCAATGTTGCCATTTTCTGAATGTATACTACAGGAAGAGCCATGAAGACTATACATATATCGACCACTTCATCTTCAATCACCTTTCCCTAAGCCTTAAATCATGCTGCTTTCTTATCCTGTGATTATCCCCAAACCCTCCCCTTGGGGAGATGTATGTGAGACTAGGGTGCCTCCTTCCATGCTTGGCTGGCTTGGGCAAAAACTCTTTTTTTCAAAACTTGTCTCAGTGGCCTGTATACTGCATGGCGGACCAAATGGGCCTGGTTCAGTACCATTGCCATTCATTCCCTGATCTTCATCAACTTCGACTTGCCACAACTGTAGTCACGTAGACTCTGTGCTCATAATGCATCTCTCTGGGGAGTCCATTCCCACTCCTGGACCTATCTGTTCCTCCAATATTCCTCATATGTTCCAGCCCCACCTCCCGAGCACTGCACTCAGCACCTCGTTTCTGCATTGCCTTGTGTAAATATCTATTAGACATCTGAAACTCAACAAGTTCCTAATTAGTCTGCCCTCTCACCCTCCCCTCACGTTTGCTGCTCACCTGCTTTTGCTATTCCCATCAATGATGTGTCTGAGCATCTCCCAAGTCCAGCCTTAACATGCTGTTTCCATACCACCAGATCCTTGATTCTAGACCTCACAGCATTTGACTTTTGCCTCAGCTTTTGTCTTAATGTTGTAACTGCCTGCATTTCCCTATAAAATCCATCTTACACAGTACTGAGGTGTATTTCCAAATATAGGTATTTTCATCCTTCCATATAAGCTTTGGATTACTTTGTATCCAGAACTCTTTTTGTATGCTGGCAACTGACCCAGGCCTATGCATGCTAAGCATGTGCTTCCATCCAAGCTACCTCCCAGTCCTAGAAAGCCTTTTAAATGGAGCACCTCCATCATGGTGTCCATCACCTTTTACCATTTAGCCCATGTGGCAGCTGTTTGAAACAACTGTTCCCAACTTTGCATTAGCTCTTCCATCTACTTGGATGCAGCCTGACCTCTTGTTCACTCATGTGAAACCATACTTCTCACTCAAGGCCCAGCTAACATGTTCTGTTACTCTGCTAGTCTGATTTAGCATGCTGCCAACTTAAAGTTCTTATCATCCTTTGCCAAAATCACATTTGCTCCATTATATGATTTTCTCTCTTTCTATCCTACTAGGTTGTGACCGCACATGGAAGAGGTTCTCTTATTAGTCTTTACATCCCTAACACTGAGTAAGATGCCTGTGTTGGATAGCTTTAGTGTCAACTTGACACACCTGGGTAGAGGGAACCTCAGTTGAGGAACTACCTCCATTGGACTGGCCTCTGGTCATGTCTGGGGGGCATTTTCTAGACTGTTGAGTGATGTGTGAGGGCCCAGCTCACTGTGTGTTGTGCCACCCTTGGGCAGGTGGTCCTGAATTATATAAGAAAGCAGGCTGAGCACAGGCCAGGGCAGTAAGTCAGTAAGCAGTGTTCCTCTATGGCCTGTGCTTCAGCTCCTGCCTCTAGGTTCCAGCCCTGAATTCATACCTTGGCCTCTCTCAGTAATGAACTGTGACCCGGGAATTGTAAGATAAAATAAACCCTTTCTTCGCCAAGTTGGTTTTGGTCAGTGCTTTTCTCACAGCAATAGAAAGTAAAATAGTGCCTGGAACACAGGAGGTACTTGATAGATTTGTGGAGTAGAACTGAAACCATGCAGAGCCTTCTCTTTCTCTCTCTCTAACTAACTTAGATTTCCCTTGATCAGTTAAGTGATCTTTGAGAAATAGACACTTAAGGGAGACAATGCATTTAAAACTTGTTTTTGTAGACATCTTTAGGGCATGACAGGTGTGTGTGTGTGTGTGTATGTGTGTGTGTGTGTGTGTGTGTGTGTGTATAAAACCTTTAATGAGGAAATGTTACATAATTCACTTTAGTGAAAAATAGCTTTCATGTTAAATCTAAATCTTGGATGATAATTAGCAAGATCATTAAAACTGGGAACTCATAAATAAATAAAAGAAATAATAGAAAAAAATTGGGAAGACTTTTTCAGAAAATATTCAGAGAGCAAGCTTAAAAGAATTTGGTAGTGAGGTGCTTAGTCATGCCTGCGACAATGTGAACAGGGCAGAGTCAAACCAGAATTGAGACATATGTCATCTTGGGTCATACTTACATGGCAAACTGTGAAGACTGAACATAAGCTTCAGTTTCTGCTAACAAGTCAAACTGACATTTTAAAATCCCAGCCCAATTAAATTGAAGCCACAGGCACAGCCCCTGTAGGAGTCGCCAGTGGGAATGTGGACTGCTCCAGGCAAGTGTTTATTGCTTGACCCGTAGTTGCAAGGCTGCCATCTACATCTTGTTTATTTCTGTGAAGGATTCCTTTTCTTTTCTCGGAAATTTTTACCAAATGTTGGATGGAAACAGTCACCAACATAGAATATTCACTGTGAAAGGGTAGAACATAGTGTCTGGATGTAAAGTCATGATGCCATTCATAAAGAATCACAAGTGGCCTCTTTAAAAAAAAAATCCAAGCTGGACATAGTGGTGCATGCCTTTAAACCCAGCATTTGGGAGGCAGAGGCAGGCAGATCTCTGTGAGATAGAGGTCAGCCTGGTCTACATAGTGAGTTCCAGGCCATCTGGGACTATAGGGAGACACTGCCTCAAAAAGACAAAACAAAACAAAACACAAAATCCCCACAAAAACAAAACAAAACAAATTTCCTATTAAACATGGTGCAATACAGATTATGAAGGTAGGAAGATCAAATCTGGTCCTCACTGCCACAGTGCTGTGAGCCAGGTAGAGCTCAGAGTCCTTAGAGCTGAAGTGTCAGCCAACAGTGGCTCTTCTGGATATGGTGGAGTTGTGCATTCTTGGACTAAGAGGAACTGCATAGATGCCTTGGAAGCCCAGGGAGGACTTTTTGAAGTGTGGAAGGTGTATCAGCTAGTACAATCTCTGCTATTCTCCCCTCATGGCTTTCTTGCTGTAAGGGGCCACATGAGGCTGGTCCCCCTAAAATGTATTTCATGAACCAATATACATATCCTTATCACTTATAAGGCCTCAATTATGAATGTTCTCCAGAATTTTAGCAGCAATTAGACAAGCTACTATGAAAGAGAAGGCATCAGTTAAAAACATATGCAAACCAAAGATCATTAGAGAAAGATAATATTCATGCAGATTTACAAACCGTGTCTTTAGGGTGGCCCAATAAGTAGAAATATGGGGACCCATGCTTGTCACTTTTCATGCACATGGAGAGACTGGAAGGTACCATTCCTAAAGGGAGGGGAGGAACAGCCTAGGACCAATCATTAGAATTAACAGAACCAGTGACAAAGATATATTATTACTGTTAGAGTCAAGATTGCTTAGAATGTTTAGAGCAGTTGAATAAAAATTATCTAGGTAGTAAGAATAAAGACTTTAATGCTATTCTACCAGCATGCAGCAAGTGAAATTAGTAAAAGACTGAGCTATACGTATATTTCAAACGTAGATTTTTTTTTCTCAAAATATTGAGGGCATCCTGAGGTGCTTTAGGGAGGCATAAATGTGAATAAAATTTGAAATGGTCATGCCATAACTTTTGCAGATTTTTCTCACAATAGTGGATGTTTCAGTGATATCAGCTGTCATTTGAGAATCAGTCACAGTAATCATTTCTAAATTTGAAGAAATTCTAAAATAAAGACATGGTGTCCTTCCATGTTCACATTTTTCTTTTCTCTAAAGCTCTCATCAATTCTATACCTCTAATACTCTGCTCACTTATATTCAAAGTTCACAGTTGACTTGCTGGATGTAATTGCTTTCTAGGAAAAAATTTAAAGCAGAAAAAATTGCAACAGCATAACATCTTGCTGTTCTACCCGCTGCTCACCTGCCATGGCTGTGCTTTCAATCCGATCTTGTAACACTGGTTGAATCAACCAATAACCTCTTAGTCTATGTCCAGCTCAGCTGATGGGCTGCAGTCCTTTACTCACACAATCAGGGGCACTAGAAATTCTGAAATATTCAGGTCAATAACCTCTAAGAGACAAGTCCCCAGGAGAAGCCTGCCACACCTGCTACTGTGCTCTCTACTGATGCATGTGAGGGATGGGATATGTGTTCACGATGACGGTAGTGTTATCAGGAGAGCTGAATCCATGGAGTTTGGACATATTGTGGCCTGTTCCCTTCCTTGTCAGAGTCCACTGATAATACTCCCTATACACACACCCTGCATGCAGCTGTGGATCTGTGTTCCAGGCACAGAATGAGCCAGGACTCCACACTGGTTTCAGATGTGATTGCAGGTGTTTTTCCTAGCACGGTGTGTGTGCATGAGGGAAGGGCAAGTCCAGCAGGAGACCTACCTAACATGTTGGGTTAAGCACAAAGCAGACCCTCTCTGTGGAAAGGAAGTCAGTGCTTCACAATGACTGTCGTAAATAGAAATTAAATTTCAGGATTTATTAATTGAGTTTACCATTTAGCCCTGCCAAGAAGCAAGTAATATTGTGAGAAAATGATCAAGCAGCTTCAGTGTCACACAGCGAAAGCTCTCATTGGGTTTAAGGATGGCCTTTCTTAGGCTTGAAAACATATGTGTTAGGAAGCCACACACCCAGAAGGTGAAACAGAAGGGCCCAGAACGCAGTGGAGGTGTACACTGTGAAGGCAGAAGTGGAAACCACACTGTAGCAGGCATATTTAATGCACACACTACTAGTTATCTGTGCCCAGCCCTAAAACCTACAGTCCTGTTAAGGCCGGGGTCACCATGAATTAGAGTGTATGCACACTGAAAAGACCAGGGCTCTTTCTACAGGAATATAAAAGCAAGCAAGCAAGCAAGCAAACAAGGTTTGAGTTATGTAACAATTGTTTGGTGTTAAGCCTGTGTTTGTTAGTTTTGGTTTTATCTAAGCAGCACATGAAGAATGTGTGATTCTCAAAGTTTAGACATTTTCTTACAATTAGACCATATAATTCAAATCCAGAGTTAAGACCATGTATGATTTTTGTCTTTGGTCCCAACTGAGAAAATTCAGTTAAAATAAACATTGAGTCTTAATCAGAACAGGACATCAGAGCAACACTAAGCAAGATCTCATAGGCTGAGTTTGTGGATAACAAAAATCTAGGCTTATGGCAAGAAGGTAGAGACAGAGAAGGATGACTGGTTCCCAGGGCTTAGAAGGGAGGGAAGATGAATCTGCAGAGCACTGAGGACTTTCAGACAAGTTAAAATGCTCTGTATGATACTGCAGTGGTGGGCAAATGTCATCATTTACTTGTTCCAGTCGCAAGTGTGTACAGCACTGAGGATGAACTCTAATGCAAACCATGGGCTTGGGGTGATAGTGATATGTTAAAGTAGGTTCAGCATTCTTAACAAAAGTGCTACTGTGATGGAGATGCTGACAGTAGGGAAGACTCCCTTGTGTTGGGTTTGGAATCATGTGAGAAGCATCTGTACCTTGTCTCCAAATTTGCTATGTGCCTAAAACTGACTTAAAAAGTAATTTAAGACGGGATATAGCGCAGTTGGTAGCGTGTTTGCCTAGTATGCATAAAGCCCCGGGTTTAATCTCCAGCACTGCATAAATGGGGCATGGTGGTACATGCCTATACTTCTAGCACTTGGAAGATGGAGGCAGGAGGAGGATCAGAATTTCAAGGTCATTCTTTGCTATATAGTGAGTTCAAGGCCAGTCTGGGATATAAGACACTGCATCAAGAAAAAAAAAAAAAAGAAAGAAAGAAAAAAAAGAAAGAAAGCTGGGGTTTAGGGACTGGGGAGAGGGCTCAGTGGGTAAGAGGACTTTTTGTACAAGCATGAAGACATGAGTTTGGGTCCCAGCTCCTAAGTAAAAGGCCAGGAATGGCTCTGTGGTTCCTGAACTCCCAGCACTGTGAAGGTTGGAGATAGGAGGATCACTTAGGCTTGCTGGCTGCCAGACTAGCTCCAGGTTCAGTGAGAGACCGAGTCTCAAGTGAAAAAGGTATGTCCTCTTCTGGCTCTCATACACATGTGCATAACACACACACACACACACACACACACACACACACACACACACATACACACACACACACACTGGATTTTATAGTGCTCTGATTTAAAAATTACAACTGGTGAGTTGTTGGGCCTGGGAAAACTAGTACAAGGCAGTGGGGCCCACCTGTGCCCTCTGAGGTGATGCTTTGAGATTTGGTGTCTGCTGATTGTGCAGTGGCTTGGACCTATCAAGAATGTGTCTCAAGGTATTGACTTTGCTTTGAGAACCTGGACAGAAAGGCTTTGTTGGTAAACTCCTAGAGATCAAACCCTTTTCTGCAATGCCTTGATTTCTGGACAAAAGATAACCAGATAGTGGTAAAAACAGCACCAACTTCCTTTTTTTCAAAAAAGTATTTATTTATTATGTGTATGAGTATACTGCCTGCGTGTGTCTAAGTACATGTGTGTCATGCAATGCCTGTGGAGGTCAGAATTAAGGTGTCGAATCCCCTGTAACTGGAATTACAGATGGCTGTTAATCACCATGTGGGTGCTGGGAATTGAGCCGTCTCTCCAGCCCCAGCACCAACTTCTTAACACGTGTAGCTGAGGGGTTAGAAGCTTGTTTTGAATCAGCATGCTGAGGCTGTGAACCATGGGGCCAGAATCTTTACAAGGAGAATGGAAACTGCTCAGGTTGAACAAAAAAGCAGGAGACAGAAGATGAGCGAACAATAAGAAAATTTAGTCTCATTTCTTTTTCTAAGTTTCAATAGCTGCAAGTCTTAGAATGGGGAGTGACTCACTAGATGGGGCCAGAGAGGGAGCAAGCTCTTCCTTCATAAGAGAAAAATTCAGCATCTCCAGGGCATAGGAGTCTCTGATTCTGCTGAGATGACACTTAAAAGTGCACAGACTTGGGGCTAGTGAGATGGCTCATTGGGTAAAAGCACTTGTTGCCAAGCTTGATGACCTGAGTTTGATCCCTGGAGCCCACAAGTTGTCCTCTGACTTCCACATGTGTGCCATGGCACACATGCATGCACACACATGTATAAATAAATGTAATAAAAATTGAAAAAATTGAGTCTTGGTATCAATGGATTCCTTCAGATTCACCAGAGCACTTAAAAGGTTAAAATCAGTGTCCTAAAACATGTGAATGTGTGTGTGTGTGTGTGTGTGTGTGTGTGTGTGTGTGAGAGAGAGAGAGAGAGAGAGAGAGAGAGAGAGAAATTATTGCAGTGCTGGGCAGTGAACCTAGGGCCTCACCCATGCTAGGCAAGTGCTCTCTCAATAAACTTAGTCTCAGATTTTTTTTCTAACTTTATTTTAAGACAAGGTCTCCCTAAATTTCCCAGGCTGGCCTTGTGCTTGTGTGCTTGCTTAGTAGCCTCAGCTGACCTCGAACTTGCAATCCTCCCATCTCAGCCTCCACAGTAGCTGGAATTCCAGGCCTGCAACACCAGACCCCTGATTTGTCTTAAGGAACAGTTAATTATTTTCCCTTTTCCACAGCATGGAATTTAATGCACCTCCACCTTCAATCCTGCCCTGTAGTCTTTACTCCCTATCTATTTCTCTGTTGTGTAAGAAACATTCTCTGGAATTTGTGACTTCCATGAGGTCCATTCCCATTTCACAGTATTTATGAGAGTGTCCATTGAGCTAGCTGCCTTTGCTCATGGACTTCTGTGGAAAGCAGCCCTCTCGTGGTCAAGCTGAGCTTCATGTTGGGGCAAGGACCTCAAGCACACTTTTCAGGAAGGGCTGCTGGAGGAGCAGGAATCTTTTTTAAAAATATATTTTATTTATTATTTTTATTTTATGTATATGAGTGTATTGCCTGCATGTGTGTAAGTGCGCCTGTGTCATGTAATGCTCATGGACATCAGAAGAGGGTATAAGATCCCTGGAACTGGAGTTACGGATAGTTGTTAGCTGCTAAGTGGGTGCTGGGAATCAAACCTGGGTCCTCTGAAAGAGCAGCTAGTGCTCTTAACTGCTGAGCCATCTCTCTAGCACCAAGGAGAAGAAATCTTTAGGTTTTTATGGGAACTCTTCTCAATGGGGCTTGGGAAAGATACTTCTCAGTTCCCTTAAGATTTTTTTTTTTTTTTTGTCTTTTGTCTTCCCTGTAGCCCCAGCTGGCCTGGAACTCACTATGTAGGCCAGGTTGACCTTGAACTCACAGAGATCCTCATCCTTCTGTTAAGATTTTTGTTTTGCAGATTTTTTTTTTGTCACTATGTGTATGGTCTAATATATCTTATTAATCTTTAAT